TAATATCTCAGAAGGCAATTTTAACAGAAGTGTCCTTATTGCGTCTGACTCCTCAATTATTGGAGATATTTTTTCATTAATAAATAGTTGTAGACTTTTTAAATAGACTTTTAATAAAAAGAAAAACCTTTGTGTGCTAATTTTTACATTCGTGAGTTATTTTATTCTGGGGTCCCAGAGACGGAGAAAATTACTAGGTGGCTGTGTAAAAATTACGTTAGCACTCATAAGTGGTGGGTGGTGAAAACCCAGGAAGGTTTTGCTCCAGCGCATCGCAATGTTTTCTACACAGGGCTAAATTTTCCCCTTTTAGGTGAAAATTAGTAATATTCTTCGGTAATCCTTAGTAAAATTTGGCGCTTAATACTTCAGTGAAAATTTTAGCCATCTATAAGCCATTCTTTAAACAGTGGATCAAAAAGGCCCGTTCTGGTGGGGGTTTATGGGTTAAACTGTGGGAAATAAAGTAGACCACCATTATTTTCAATTTACAACTCGCATAAAATCGTAAGAACTCCGTAATTTAACACAACGGTAGATAAGATTATTAAAAAATTTATTAATAGCGAATAACTTAACTTTTTAAATTTTGTATTTCTTTAAATTTAAATAGTACATACGGATCTGTAGAGAGCAAATCCATCAGCGCCAGACATTTTAATTCAAGTAGGAAGTAACAATATTTAAATTTAAAACTAATTCAATGAATAAATATAGAATTATAATCTGAATTGACATAGCGAATGCCTATCGCTGATGAGATGACATGATACGATTAGTAGCCTCAGGGCTCTTGGGAATCTACCCTATGGGCAGTAGCGCCGACGTTGCCAGATGCGTCGGCGTCGCCGAATCTTTTTAAAGTTGGCCGAAAAGCCTGTCGGCGTAAATCTCTATTAAGTTTGTATTTATGCATGTTAATTAAGAAAAAATAGTGAGACGCCGAATGATTCTATTTTGGAAGATAATGCACATACTTATGAATGTGTATGTGTGTACATTAGCGTGCACCCCTCTCCATAGAAAAATAGGTACTACTTTTCCATCGGAAACATAAAATCCATTATATTTTAAGGTCTCCGTCTAAACAGTTCGAAAAAATATTAACACGAACAAGACCTGTTTGGGAATACGTTCAAAAATCAAGTTTTTTTTATAAATAAAATTAGTTTTAAAAAATATTTTTTCCAAAAAATCACCTCAGATGTAAGATGAGTTTAAGATTAAAAGGTATGCAGAAAAATGTTTAAAACTTTGACCAACGGAATCAAAATAATCAGATTTTGGGAAGTGTTTTCAAATTGGTCTAGCTCACGTTAATCTTAATATTTTTCCGAACTATTTTGACAGAAGTCTTAAGGCCGTTTTCTAGACTGTCTGTTAAAGATTACCAGTGCTTTGTCACTGACATGCTTATAATAAGCAATCCATAAAAAGTCGATAAAGCAGACCAGGCGTAAAACTTTAGCAGGCAGTCGAGAAAATTGCCCTTAAAATATAATAAATTTTATAATTGAGTTTTGGTCATACACCCTAATGTACATATGTATGTACATACCATGTACGTATGAAGATATGTAAGCATAGATTTTATATATTTAGACATATCAAACCATTGCGGAGAGATGTGTGGCAGCCTCTGCAGTTTTCGATACGCATTCGTTTAGTTGAGCAACACAACTTTTCGGCCAAATAATTTTCGATGCAAACAAAATGAATTTATAGAAGCAAGTGGTAATAACAAACGAAAAGGCGAAATGTTTTAAAGTAATTTATGAAGAAGAGAAAATTAATTGGAATTGGAACATGAATAAAAATTCGAATAATTAAAAGTGGGCAATTAAATTAAAAATTTATATCAACAATTCTATTTTCTTTAATGCTACTGTATAAGCAGTAAAAAGTGCGCCAAATGTGAATAGGATATGCACGTGCTACTAACATTTCTTTCAAATACCGGCACAGTGTGTTGAAAAGTATATTTACGCATTCATTGTCGATTTCATAAGAATGCATATTTATCTGTTTTATGTAAATACACAAACACGTGCTGCATACAAGAATACATGGAGGTGCGTACATACATACATATGTATGTAAGCCTATTTATGTACTTTTCTATGGCCGACAAGATGTGGTTACGGAAGCGTCGATTTTGTTTTCTGCGAGGCACAACTTTTGGCAATTTTTAATTCAAGCCACATATTCAAGTAAACAGGTGAAGGTTACCAAAACAAAAACAACCAAAAAAAATGATAGAAAAAAAATTAGTACAAAACTGTTTAATATAAAATATGTAGTACACAAAATTCAAGCATGCAGGAAATATTAATTCAAATACTGTTAACCGTACCTACTCCCCTTACCAATATTACACACGTTTTTTTATAAATTAATAAAAATAAATATTTGGCATTCCGGCATAGGCAAAGAAGCACAAAAGTTTAAAATAGATAAAGAAAATGCACAAATATTGAATCATGCATAAACAGCAGTGAAGTTAAAGCAAAAAATAAACTGAAAACGGTTGTAGTTTTTTGAAGTAAGTTTTTAATTTGAGTCTCAGTTTGGCGTTTGAAAAGTGCGCATCAGCCGGAATTTAAAATTATAACGCTAAATTACCAAATGCAAGCAGTTTACCATATTCGCAAAGTGACCTCATAGTCTAAATGAAATTTCAACAGAATCTCGAAGCCCACATAACACCCGAATGGCGTACACAATACATCGAATATGCTGTAAGTCTGAATTAGAGCTTCTCCTAATACAACTCTCGCATCTAACTTTGTTGCCTTCCACATAGCAACTAAAGGCGATGATACTCGATGCCATTGCACAGGCGCCACCCCCTGGCAGCATTCAACACTCAGACTATATCATTAATTTCAAGCACAAACTCTTCGAAATTTGCGATAAAGAATTAGAAAAGGTCAATATGTTTTACGAAGCGAAATTAATTGAGATCACACGCAAATACACAAACCTTAAGGATGAACTCAAGTTGGCCAAAGAGTTGACAGGCAGCAGCGTATTGGCGCGTTCATCATTCATAGTTAAGAAGCCATTCTTTAGACCAACGATAGATATGACCAAGATCTTGACACGTAGCGCCAGTCATGATTTTAAGGCGGCATTTAGTGAGCTCTACTTGAATGTGATACTTTTGCGTAACTATCAGATTTTGAATCATACTGGGTTCCGTAAAGTTCTTAAGAAGTATGATAAGGTAAAGTGTTTGCGTAGCTGAATGGGTATGTGTACGTACAAGGACTCATACTGACACAGAGTGTCTAAGCTCATGAGTTTACTTTGAAAATGAACAGGGCAATTTTGGCAACTGTTTTTCAAAACACCACAGACTTTCGGAAGACAAGAGCCGTTCAATTCTGGGAACAATCTTGAAAGCTCTTTACTGTCTTTTGAATGAATAATTGAAAGTTCTGCTAACGAGGAGGTCTTAGCGTTATGCTGTTCGGCTTTTAGCAGTTAGTTTCTTTTAAATAAAATTAAATATAAATATTTTTCATTTTAAAACAATGAAAAATATAAATAAAAGCAAATTAAATAAAAAAGAAAAGTAAATAAAAGTAAAATAAAGAAATAAATAAATAAAAAGGAAAAAATTAAATCAATAATGAAAATAGCATCTATGTACATAAAAATTAAATATATTTTTTATTTTTAAAACAAAATCTAAAAATGAAAAGAAAATTAAATAAAAAAAGTTAATTCAAAAAAGAAAAATAATTAAATTAAAAAATTAAATAAATAAGTTCCTAAATATTTATGTAAATTGAAAAAGTATTTTGATTTTGTAAACAATAAAATCTAGAAATTTAAAGAAAATTAAATTACACCTTTTCCAAGAGTACTTCAGAAAGCGTAAAATGAACTTCAGAAAACGTAAAATGTATTTCAGAAACCGTTAAATGTACTTTAGAAAACTTAAAATGTACTTCAGAAACCGTTAACTGTACTTCATAAAACGTTAAATTTACTTCAGAAACCGTGAAATGTACTTCAGAAAAGGTAAAATGTACTTGTTGTAATAAACTGACTATTCTGATATACATTTTACGTTTTCTGAAGTACATTTGACGCTTTCTGAAGTACTCTTGGAAATGGTGTAGAAGATGATAAAAGTTCATTTGAAAAACGAAAAGTTCATTTGATAAAACAAATAAGCTCCTAAACGTTAAATGAAATCAAAAAATATTCTTCTTGTAACAAGTAATTTTTAAGCAAAAAACACAACCGACTTCAATTCGTACAAACAGATTTAGGTGTACCGATCCAATGATCGGATTTAAAACAAATTAGTAAGGGACTACCACCTTTCCGTTCAAGAAAGAATTATCGAAATCGGTAGACGTGGTCCAAAGTTATGCGGTAACATACAGTATCGGTCATATCTAAAGCACGCCATTTCAAAGTGATATTGTGTGCAACTTATGTTTCTTTATGTATTTTTGAGAATTTTCAATTAAAATACAGTTCTTTCTCTAACAAACCCCATATAAAAACAAGTTTAACAATTTGTAGAAAACTTCAAAAAAGTGCAACAAATTTTCACCTAATTTTCAAACTTTTTTCTCAGAAGTGTTTGAATTTTACTGAATACACAGTTTTATAGCCCAATCAATTTTAGTCTGATAACGTGCAAGTTTCAAGTTGCTAAAAGTTACCGTTGATTTTTTAGAATTTTTTTCGCCAAAGGTTTTACGGATTTCTTCCATATACAAATAAATTGAGTTTATTCATTATATGGAGGCCAATGCGACAAAAAAAATTCTAAAAAATCAACGGTAACTTTTAGCAACTTGAAACTTGCACGTTATCAGACTAAAATTGGTTGGGCTATAAAACTGTGTATTCAGTAAAATTCAAACACTTCTGAGAAAAAAGTTTGAAAATTAGGTGAAAATTTGTTGCACTTTTTTGAAGTTTTCTACAAATTGTTAAACTTGGGTTTATATGGGATTTGTTAGAGAAAGAACTGTATTTTAATTGAAAATTCTTAAAAATAAATAAATAAACAATATCACTTTGAAATGGCGTGCTATAGATATGACCGATAATGTACATATAAAAAAAAAATATTCCGGCGAATTGATAACCCTCTCCTATTTTTGATGTCGGTTAAAAAGAATAACATCTAAAAATTAAAAGAAAATTAAATCAGGAAGGGAAAAGGCAAATCAAATTAAAGAAAAAAGTACATAAAATAAGTATCCAACAAAAAATTAAATGAAAAAAAAATAATAAGGGTACTCATATATACGCGCAAGTTTCATATTTGGGCAATTGGGCAACTTTGCGCCACGTGTTTCATGAGGACAATTTTATATTTTACACAATTTCTGACATTTAATTATTTGACTATACTTAATTTATAAAGTTGAACAATTGAAACTCAAATTTGAGTAAATATTTAAGTCTTACCGCAATTATTTCGAAAAAGCGTTGAGCACAAACCAAAATGAATGTAAACAAAATAGCTGATTGAGGGCGGCACAGCACACTGCGCAAAGTTGCGCTCCAAAATTGCCGCGCAAAGTTTCCATTTTTGTGCAAATGAATTTCCATACAAATTTTGACATTTCATTTGCGAGGGTTTAAAATTGCACAGTTTACCCAGTTTGCGAGAGTTTTGCGCTTTTAAATGAGTAGCCTTAATAATAAAAATAAAAAATAAATTAAAAAATAACAAAACTTCGGTGCACGGGGACTCGAACTCGGATCTCTCGAATGGCACGCCTGTGTCTGTGCCATTGCAACTGTTGGAGCAGCGCGAGCTAAATGGTATACAGTTGGTGAATGAGGGAGCTTTTTTTCTAAGACTTTTGTGCTAGAATAACAAAAGTCTTTCGAACTATCTTGACATCTGTCTTTCATTTGTCATAAAAGGGAAATACACTACATCAGCTTGATGGCTCCATCAAGTGCTGCTGGTACTATATTTGTTTCTTAACGAATGGGGTCCGGAAAAAGATTGAAATGAGTAGAGCCAAAATTTCATAATTCTTCTACCATTCTGTTAAACATTGGTTTTTAAATTCTCAACTGAAATATTGCGAACTTTAATCTTCCACAAACACGGCTTTGACTCTTATGGTGCAGGAAACCTCCGCCAACACTTGATGGCACCGGCGTGCTGCTATCATATATGCGCCCTTTTATGAAAGATTTTCTACTATCTTAGCCAGAATTGCCCTGTAAGTCACAACTTGAACTCAATTTGAATGCATGAGACCGCGTGTGTGTGAAATTTTGCTAATAAACTATAATGCGGCTTCTTTTTGAGTACCCTATAATTACAGGCCGATTATAAAGAGTTCCTGCAAGCGATTGTCTTAAAAACTACTATCTTTATAGCGCTTTCGTGGAAGAGCTGGTCACGATTACTTCGTATCGAAAGTGGAAAATGCACTTTTCCATACCAACCGTGAAACCAAAGAGCTTTTAAGAAAAATCGAGGATGTAATGACTTTTAATCTGGAGCATGGTGATCGTCATAAAGCCATGCAGAAGCTACGTGTGCCACCACTCGCTGATCAGACACATCCATGGACTTCGTTTCGTACGGGATTTTCTTTGGGTGCCCTAATCATTCTAGTAATTATGGTTATTTTATCGTGTGAGTAAACTTTATTTAAATTGATTGGATTACACTTGACTTGCGACAACTTTAAGTGACATGACTTGAGAGATTGTACTTGATTTTTTTTTTTTAATTTGAATTAATTTAATATTTTTTCAGTTGTAATGGCCTTGCTACAGCTTTCGCGATGAGCCTTAATTTACAATAATTTCGCATGCATCGATCGAAATTTAGCGTGTAGAGGTACTTTAATTAACTTGACGTTATTTGACCTGACCTTACTTTATTGTATCTGACATCACTTGTTTTGAAGCGACTTTAAAAAAAAAAATGATGTGATGATATAACGCTAGCTGATTTGACGCGAACTAAATAAAAAAGAAACAACTTAAATTTATATCATTGTCAATTGTTTTCTCTCTGAAATAACGCTATACCATTTACCTTGTCTGGACATTACTTAGCAAGCTTTGATTTGAAGTGACGTAACATCACCATTTGCTTTTATTTCATTTGATGCGACTTAATTGTAATTGATCAAACTTAATTCATGTGATTTAACTTGACGTCACTTGACCTAACCTAACTTAAGTTCTATTTTCCCGATGTATTTAAACTGACTTAACTTGATATGATTTGACCTGTCCTAAATTGACTTGACTTGATATTACGTGACTTAACTTGTCGTGACTTCCACAGATATGACCTGACTTTATCTGATTTAAATTATTGCCATATGACTTTACTCATCGTAAATTAAATTGGTGAGTGCGGTGACCATATATGTACATTAGACTGCATCACTCCCCATACAAAAATAAATCGGTACTGTTTTTCCATTGGCATTATAAAATCTATTATATTTTAAGACGTCCATCAAAATATTTCGGAAAAAAATTAGGATTTAAGTAAGCAGGACCAATTTGAAAATACATTTGAAATAAAAATAGTTGCTTAAAGATGTGTTTTGAAAAAAATCCCTTCATATGACAAAACAGTTTAAGTTTGAAAAATTTACATAAAATTATTTAAAAAAAATTCAAAAATGGAACGAAATCGTAATAATGAGATTTTTGATGTTGTTTTTTAACATTTTTCAAAGATTGGTATAAGAAAAACTTGAATAACTGAACCTAAACTCTTCCGATTTNAAAGGTATGATGAACGAACATCATTCAAAGTTGAATTAAGATGTGTTGGTATTTGAAAAAAAAAAAATTGGGACACGAATGACTTTCTTTGCACATAAATAAAAATAGTGGGAAAATACCTTTCTACTGAGATCCCATAAGTCTAAATCAGTAAAGGTTTTGGCCCAGTTATTTAAGTTTTTCGTAAATCAATCTTTGAAAAAGT